AATGCTCAAAACTTGCTTGACTGGTGTTGTTTATTCTTTAAACGTAACAACTACATTTAATTTTAGATATGATGTAATGCCCCAGAACAAATAATTATTCATGTATATATATTTGTGTTTACACGACCTGTTTTAGTACAAGGATTTTTACATTTTAAAATGCATACATCACATTTAAAACCCATACTGTAATGAACTGACCTTGTTTTATCTAGGAGTGTATATGAAACCCAACTTATTGCATGTTTATTACCTGCATACTCGGTAAATTTCAGTGTCCCTACGAACTGTATACCAATATGTTTTCTGTTGGAATTTCTAAAAGCCCAGTTTTATTGAGTGTGTCAAACTATATAGTTGGCTTGCATTAAAGGTCTGCCATTACATTGTCTAGACACAAAACAGTAAAGAATGTCTAGAGTGACTGGACCAAGGTTGATAGGTTAATATTGTTCTCACTCTTACAGATTCATTTGTATTTCAGATATTTAGAGGCCATGCATGTAATGTAGTAACATTTGTTATTGAACTTGAATATTATTTTATTGTTTGTAGCATTGTTTGGCAACAGCGTTATGATAATAAGAACAGTTTTAGTTTATAGCATGTTTAGTAGCAGTAATATGGTAATGACAAAAATCTTTTATTTTGTAGTGTTATTGTATACCTTATGTTTAGAAACAACGATATCATAATGAGGACAGTTTGTTTAGTATTGTGTTATTTTTAAAGTATGTTTAGAAACAATGATATCATAATGAGAACAGTTTTAGTTTAGTATTGTGTTATTGTTTACAGTATGTTTAGCAACAGTGATATGGTTATGAGAACATTTTTGTTAAATATATACTTTATTGTTTGTAGCATGGGTTAGAAATAGTGATATGGTAATGTGAACAGTTTTAATTAAATGTTTTATTGTTTGTAGCATGGCTTAGAAATAGTGATATGGTAACGTGAACAGTTTTAATTAAATGTTTTATTGTTTGTAGCATGGCTTAGAAATAGTGATATGGTAATTTGAACAGTTTTAATTAAATTTTGTTGTTTGTAGCATGGCTTAGAAATAGTGATATTGTAATGTGAACAGTTTTAATTAAATTTTGTTTTATTGTTTGTAGCATGGCTTAGAAATAGTGATATGGTAAGTTGAACAGTTTTAATTAAATTTTGTTGTTTGTAGCATGGGTTAGAAATAGTGATATGGTAATGTGAACAGTTTTAATTAAATTTTGTTTTATTGTTTGTAGCACGGAAAAGTTTTTATTAGATATTGTGTGATTACTTGTACCACTGTCTTTTAACAATTAACAGTGATATGATTGTGAAGATATTTCAGTTGAATGATTCATTGTTTGCAGTACTGTACTACGTTGAAGAAGTTATTTGTTGTTTATAACAGACTGAAAAAACAGAAAATAGTTACAAATTTGAGAGATGGTAACACTAGAAAAAACCTTATCTAAAAATCATTTATTTAACAAGTTGAAGTTTACACAGTTGCTATTGGTAGTACATTAGAAAAATATTTAAATGATTAAAATAATTCCACACCCGTGCCTTACATGAAACATGGTAGGATGTGCTGTGATAGTTAAAATTATTGTTGTAAAAGAAGTAACGATATGTAAGAAGTAGAAAGATGCCAATACAATTAAGGACATGTTGGTCCTTGAAAGGTGCCAATACAATTAAGGACATGTTGGTCCTTGAAAGATACCACTACAATTAATGACATGTTGATCTTTGAAAGATGCCATAACAATTAAGGACATGTTGGTCCTTGAAAGATGCCAATACAATTAAGGAGATGTTGGTCCTTCTAGACTTTCCTATCCTCTAAACTAAACAATTAAAAACAACTCAAAGCCAGCCATTATCACTTAAATACTTATCAAGCCTTCCCTTAAAACCCCTTAAATTTACAACATCTGCCATACCTGAAGGCATCTTATTCTAAAGGCCAACCACCCTATTAGAAAAATAAAGCTGTCTTTGCTGAAGATGACTCCTACACTGCAAAAATTTATATTTGTGTCACCTAGTCCTTCTATTCTCACCATTAAGTACAAAAAACAACAACGAAAGATTAATCATCAACATTATCATTTCCCTTAACAATCATAAACACCTCAGTCAGATCTCCTCTAACTCTTCTTTTTTCAAGAGAAAACAATGTCAGAGATATTTACCTGTCCTCGTATGACAATATTTCCATCCCATATATCATACTAGTAGCCCTCCTCAGATTCCTTTCTAACAATTCAGTGTCCTTAACCCTTTCGAGACAGATCACTGGTGAAAGGCCATGCCATCTCGTTTGTTGACTCGCATTCAAAATTTTATTGAACTACTATTTCATGAATTTATGTCAATAACTTTGGTATCAAACTGTAGATCATAATTAAAATTTTAGTATTGTATATTAATCAATTTCTTAATTTAAAAGCAAATATTAAAAAAACAGATGAACATAAATTTTTGTGTGTCATGTGGTATGTTGAATGCAGCACTGGTTCAAATTAGATGTTTGTGAAGTCAAAATACTAAGTCTCTAGTTTTGAACAAATTAGAAACTCAAATTAGCGATATTGACAAGCTAGAATGTAAAATAAGAGCCTCTTATCTTTTAAATTTGCTAAGATATTACTCATGTAATAAATCAAACACAGTGGCACCCCACCCACCTCTTTCCATTTTTGGAAA